CCCTCCCCGCACGCTGTCTCGCTCACTCTGCCGGCGTGCTGCTCGGGACTGTGCCGTAACTGAAATAATAGAACAGGGGCTTTGTGGCAGCTACGCTGCTATGTGCCACGTTTAACGAACAGCGCCTAAGGAAACTTTAAAACAGTCTCAACTTCGTACGTCCTTTAAAAAAAATTGCAAAAGTACAATTTTGGTGAGTTGTCCGTTCGGCTTTGGATAGACAGCTTTTAAATTTTTATCCATAGTTTTCGACGACGTATGATTTGATCGTTGTTAAAAATAGGTCGTACACCTCTTTCTCATTTTAATGCGATTTCTCTACCATCCCCCTAATCCATCCGGTTATACATTTCCAGTGAGGTAGTTCTTACTTCCGTGCTATGACGAAACCTCCCGCTGTGCCGCCGTCAGGTTCCCTATTTGCAGAGCGCTGCGGCATTCCCGTCCATTACAAATGCAGGCTCCGTACTTCTCTCGGCTGTATGACGCCGCGCCATGGAAGCCGTTGCAGCCCGGCCGCTGACAATGCTTGTGTCGTTTTGTCCTAGTGAAGGCACAGAGTGCTGCCCTCTTTGCGTCCAGTATTTCATACTCGTCGCGTAGAGCAAACTCCGACCGGCCGACAGCCGTCGTTCCCTCCCTTATCGGGGCAGCGGGAGGCATCTGGTGCCGCAGCCGCTACACCCAAGTCGTCCCTCCTACCCCGACTCGATAAAATCACTCAAGTCAGGCGAGCACCCGCCGCGGGGCCGTGGCGGCCGGGCGGCCCACTTCCTGCTGTGCTGGAGGGCGTGTCCCTCTCGCTTTCGTTCTCCACGCCGCTCCTCACGCGCCGTGAGTGGTTTGCTTTTGACGACGCCGCGACGCGCCGCGACTCTGCGGGGTATAGGGGGGAAAAAACAACCCTCTTGCGTGGGAGTGGCAGAGCGTGCCGTGGCGCGGGTGGGCCAGCACAAAAAAACCAAGCGCACACTCATAGAAGTGCGCGACATCCACGAAGGGTTTTCCATGCACCCCTTCAAAAATGTGTTCTTAATTTTAGCTTGGACGAATGTTGTCCAATACTTATTCAGTACCTTTCTCGCACTGTAAAACGTTTTCGTGATTTTGCGAAAAAATAAGTTACGAAATGCTTCGTAAAAAATAATTTTCGAAAATATTTCGTAAAGTAACGAATACATTTCGTAACGAATGCATTCTTTTGGGTCGTAAGACATAAAATTTGACTAGAATATTTACAATTTTCATACCCTTTTGTTAGAGCTTAGGATTTTACAAAGCAAATTCGTAAAACAACGATGTATCGTAATTTGTTAGAAACGAAGTTTTCGTAATAGAAAATTAACCGAGAAAATGTCGTAAAATCACGATAATTTTCTTTACAGTGCGTGCACTTGTATTTTTCTGTATCGGTTCATTTTTCTCAACTTAAGTGCGATGCACTCAAATTCTACACAAAAATCTAACTGCTGGTCTAGCTTGATTCTCTTTTTTCCAATCGACATTATAGGCTACCTGACACCTGACAACATTATCTTTCTATTTATGTTAGTGAATTTCACGAACACACTTTTTGGTTTTTGTGAGAGGCGGACTGCTCTGGTGCCGCGGGCCCTCCCCTTTGCCATTTCGCAAGTCTGTTGGGAAATGAAATTACGATAGGAGGCGGCGCCACGCCGCTCTCGCCAGTGTGCGCGCTCAAACGGCGAGCAACACTTTTTAACGAGCCCCTGCCGTTCGTCGACGCGCCCCTTTCCGCTCCACTCTGTGCTGTGAAACGAACTTAAGGTGGTCGCGCCTGATTCTATGCAGGGGCCATGGGCAAAAAGGCTGGTTTGGGAGGGAGCTGGTTGTCGAGCTGTCGTCACGCGAGGTGACAGCCGGTGACAGCTTGCGTGGCGCAGCGTGGCGCTCCGGAGGGATGAAGCTGTGATACAGCTGCTCAGCTGGCTCCCCTATCCCGCCCCGCAACCCGCAGAAAAATGGAAAGCAACCATCATATGAAGGGTTGGCTCAGGGACTAGCATAAAATAACGCCTGGACAACAATATCTCCTGGTGTGGTGCTGACTGCGATGCTCCGGATTGAAATGTGTTCGACGACCATTTATCACGACTTTTATACAATATAATGCATTCGGGAGGACAAGATATTTCTTCTACGTGGTCGTTAAACGGCGTTCATGAACTGTAAACTTTCATTAGGCAAATTTACTCAATTTACTGCAAATTCTGTTTAGCATCCTCTTCAGATGCTAAAATTTATCCTACGCAATTCACTTCCTATCGTCTATTTCAAGCGAGGCCAAATTATCCAGTATTCTTTTAAATCGGGTATACCTTTGGCATCTATTTAATGCCTTTTGGTTGCATCATTCTTTCGAGAGGAGCAGGCCAAACGGTGGCTGTTCGGTCTGACAGTATTTGCGGAGCTGTCGCTGACCAGAACCATATAAGAGAGCAGAGCCCGGTGGTGGTTGGTGCGGAGGGGGGGGGGGCGAATCGCCCTCTCTCGCCCTGGACCTCGACGTTAACAAAGACTGAGTGTGATTTGTTGGGGAGGATGGAGTCTGACGTGCATCGCAGCCCAATCACAGTGGGCCAGAGGGTGAGGGGGGGGGGGGGCTAACCACCTCGGCCGCCGAGCACCTTCAATCAGCTGGGGGGCTTTGGGGAAAATTGAGCGGGCGGCGCCCTGCTGCTCATATAGTCAGAGACGGGTAGCGGGGGCGAAGCTCCCCGCGGGAATCAGTTCCGAAACTCTTATAAAAAATAAAAAAAAGTGCAACACAAGAGAAAGTTTTTTTTTCGCTCGGTTTTTCGTGTTTTTGACCTTGGCAAGCCTGAGTGACCCTAGCGGCCCGGCCGTCGAGCGCACTCGGCCCCGGCTAATGAGACCTGGTCCAGGTAGCTACAAGGCCTCTCTCGGGAAGGTCACGCGGCTGGGGATTATACGGACGACGACTGGGTGGCGGTGGTGGGGCCTAAGGTGGCGAGGGCGCAACGGCTCGGAATGGTGGCAAGGGAAAAAATGTCAGGAGCTGCATTTGGAAAGAGAGCAGGGCAAGAAAAAGGGCCGTGCTACTTTTCATGCTGTAGCGTAGCGTATTGTGACGAAGCGACAGCCGTTACATACTGGCCTGGGACAGACAGAGGGCTTTTTGTTGGGGGGGGGGGGGCAGGAGGCATGCGTGTAGGTCCGCTTGCTGCTAAAGGGATTATATTATCAGCGCATATTTAATTCATTTAGCCCGGCGTACAGAAATTGTTTGCTTTTGTTTCTTTGCCCTTTTTTTTAATTCCCAGTTGGGTCGGGGGGTGAGAGCAGCCCTGCGTGCCGGCCGCTTTTTGTGTCAAAGTCGCCACGCCGGCGACCTTGGCGATGATGATTGACATCGCCGCCCCGCAGCAGTTGTAATCGGCCCCGCCCGGGCATTTATCGTCCTCTCGGTGTCAACCCGCCACGCCCCGACCCGCCCCGACCCACCACGACCCTTTCCCCCGTCCGAGAACTCTGTTTGGTGCGGAGCAACAGGTCCTCCTGTGTCGCCACGCCCCGCGGCGCCCCGCCACGCCCCGCCACGCCACGCCCCGCCACGCCCCGCCGGGTCCTCCTAATCCCCCTCCTACGCGCGGATCGGGAAAAGAAGGTCATCGGATTACATCGATATCATGGCGTTATTCGCATCCCCCTCTCCTCCCTGTGCCACGCACCAGGTCGTATTTCACGTGGCATTTCGCCTTGCGTCGCATGCCGTGCAGGGCGGGGCACGGGACAGGACGTGGCCGGGCTGTGCGGGGTGGGGCGGGGAGTAGGTGACAGGCCGCGGCCGAATTTACGGGCATGCGTGTGCCACGGTGGTGTACTGTAGTATATATGAGTATGTGCGCACGGCGGCGGCGTCTGCGTTAAGTAGAATAGAGGAACTTTGCTCTTCGCTTTTGTGCGAGTCCCTTTCTCTCTCTCTGCGCGTGTTACGGCGTTGTGAACAATGCACCTCCCTGCCGGTGTGAGCTCGGCCGCACCATAGCTAGCAGGAGAAATAACGGATGTGCTGTTTTGTGTGTTGCAGAGTGCGAGTCGAATACTATGTGAATGAGAACACCTTCAAGGAGCGACTGCAACTATACTTCATCAAAAACCAACGTTCTAGTGAGTTTCTAGTTCGGTTTTCATACTTTACTCCTGGTTCCCCTGTTTCGTCGTCCTGAACTAACTCAAATATTTTTGGATAACAATAATTTGCTCTATACCTCCATATCCCCAAACTCCCACAACCTTTTCCCGTAAAGGTACCGTGAGGTCTCTATATTTTGCTTTGATGCTCGTCGAAGACGCGTGATATGCAAGAGGCGGCTTTCGGCTATCCCATCGCAATGATGGGCACCTAGCCAGCGAAGCACTCCACAGACGCTGCTTGGCTGTGCTTTCGCCGTCGGGGACCACGACCCGACCTTTACCCCTATCATCTCCGCCGTCCCGCTGGAACGCGCTCCCCCGGACTCGGCCTGGCTTCACCAACCTCATATCGTTCAGGGTTGTGTTGGTTCCGGCGGCAAACTAACGCGGTGGTGGCGCGGCTCCACTACTGAGATTGATTCGATGCCCGACGATACGCCCTGTTGTGTAAGGGCCTTCCTTTTCGCTTTGCTCTGTACTAGCTCCAGCCTTCTATTCCTCCCTCCCTACTCTCGACCATTGTCGCGACGGACAAGTTTTGTGTGTGCAAACGTGATGTAATTGGCCGCGGCGCGTTAATTATTCGCAGCTCATCAAGTTCCACACAGTGTTAGTGGTTGTGGTGCCGGCACAATGGGTCGGCACGCGCTGCCGCTCGGTAGAGCATCCAGAGCCCGGCAGCCTCTCGCGGTTCACGCTTGAAATTTTAATCCGTTTGCGCGCCTGGAAGCGCACGCATGCGCAACTCCCCCGTGGTCCAGCCACCGCCGGCAGCTGCGGGTTTACTTACTGCTGTACACTGAAAAGGACGGGAAATGTCTAAAATGTTGTTGTTTCGTTTCTCTTTGCAGGTTTACGGATACGAATAGTAGATTTGGTCTTCAAATTGTTAACATGTGTCCTGTACATCCTAAGAGTCGTCACGGACCTCGATCCCATCTACGCGTCATGGTAAGACTTCAATAGACGTGACAATGAGCAAGACCGTCGTACTTTATCCGTAATCCTCTGACCATGTTCTCCCCTGCCGTGTCGCAGCTACGGCTGCACCGTGACGGCCGCCGACAAGATGCAGTTCATCGAGTCCAAGAACTTGACGGAGGAGATGTTCCAGGAGAACCCCATCATCAACTGGGACGCCATCTGGTGGGTGAGCCGGCCGACGTACCTGTGGGTGGTGCAGGTCGTGCTGGCCATGATCAGCCTCACGGAGGCGCTGCTACTCGCCTACCTCGGCTACAAGGTGAGCGCGACGTCCCTGCCAATTATGTTGTCTGCTTATGTAAAGCCTCGTTCACACACGCCGGTAAAGGTCGCCTGGAGATTCCTGGAGCGGGTTGTTGGTTGTATCGCTCCTAGGTAGCTTCGCGGAATAGAGGCGTTCCGAAGGGCGTTATCCATTATTCACACTTACTTGCTGCGCGCGCTCTTGAACGGGCAGAGCGCAGAGCCGAGTGCAGACAGGCGCGGGTGCAACGAACTGCTGACAAGGCCTTAATGCTGCTGTCTCTGCTGATTCTCAGGGGAACATCTGGCAGCAGCTCCTATCTTTCCACTTCATCCTGGAGATAGTCAACACCATCCCCTTCATGTTCACGGTAAGTGGGACAGTGCACGACCCCTCCCCTCCCGCCCCCTCGGCCCCCCACGAGTTCTAATGAGTCCTCTGTTCTCCAGCTCTTGTATCCACCACTTCGCCACCTCTTTATCCCCGTGTTCCTCAACTGCTGGCTCGCCAAACAATCTCTTCAGAATATGTTCGTGAGTATCTTTGTTGTGCTCCGCTGTCTCCGTACCCTGAAGCAATCGACCTGTGTATGTTTCGAATCGAATCGTATGTCTTAATACCTTCATATTTTGTATGCAGAACGACTTGCACCGTGCCATGCAGAAGTCACAGTCAGCCCTCTCGCAACAACTCATGATCCTTTCTGCTACACTTCTCTGTCTAGTTTTTACAAGGTATTGCATTTCACATAGACATTGAGAACGACGTTTTTTTAGTTTAAATGGTTGAGCACGTACTTCAACTTTGCCTGTCTGGTGTGGACAGCGTGTGCGGCATCCAACACTTCCAGCGCGCGGGGCATCGCCACCTCAACCTGTTCCAGGCCACATACTATGTGGTGGTCACCTTCTCTACGGTGGGGTACGGTGACTTTGTACCGGACATCTGGCCGTCGCAGCTCTACATGGTTATCATGATCTGCGTCGCGCTCATCGTACTGCCCACGCAGGTAAAATTCCTAGCGGACACTGAATCGGGATTTGTGATAAAGCAATCCCAATTTCAGCGATCACTCACGTTTTGTGCTAACTTTTAACGGAGCGCAAAAAAAGAAAACAAAAAAAAACAAAAAAAAACAAAAAAAAACATGTAATCACAAGCATATGGGAAAGTTATCTCAAACAGAATGTGAAAACTAAGTACGTTTTAGTGGTAAAACGTGACACACAACACGAATACGTATTCGTTGAAATTCGTAGTAGTTTATCACAAATCCAGATTCTGTGGATCTCCTAGCTAAAGCAACCGATTTCTGCCTCGATTTTAAATATAAACTGCTTCGAAAAAAGTTCGAAAGAGTTTTGGCAGTAGAGTTTCAGCAGTATCTTGGACCGAACGACATTTCTACCACCATTGCAGAAATTGTACAAATCGAGTCCGACTGTGTACCTTTCACTTCCTTGCAGCTGGAGCAGCTTGCCTTCACCTGGATGGAGCGGCAGAAGCTTGGCGGGTCGTACTCGTCGCACCGCGCGCAGAGCGAACAGCACGTGGTGGTGTGCTCCACCACCCTGCACGCCGACACCATCATGGACTTCCTCAACGAGTTCTACGCGCACCCGCTCCTCCAGGTGCGTGCCGCCGGCGTGCCACGCCACTCAAATCAGAGAAAGTTTGATTACACCGGAGGTTAAAAGGGACGCCGCCTCTCTTGTTTGCTGCCCTTCCTGCCCCCTCCCTTCGCTCCCTTCCACATCCCCTGGTTCGCACAGAGCCCTCCCACGACAACGTGTCGTGTCTCGGGCAGGTAACGGGACGTCTACGCAGTTACCATGGCGTGCACGAAGAGAACTCTTTAAATGCAAAAGCATCATCAGAGGGGAAAGAAAGCTGGCGAGAGTAAAGGGAAGAACCAAAAAAAAACAAGAGAGGAGAAAAGGAGACTGACAATTGGAGTACTCTCTGTCTCTCTCTCAGCCACTTTAGTGTCGTGCTACAGGGCTGCGCGCTGCGCCGGGGCTGGACCCATTAGGCCCGTCCCGTCCTCTTCCTGAAGGGCCGGGTTTGTCTGTTCGAGAACTGTCGTGCCCTTTCCCCTTTCTCGACCCGCCCTTCACTCTCCCTTTAAAACACGCACAACGCACACACCAAGAAAAAGACCCCCAAAAATGATTGATGTTTTTTTGTTTGTTTGTTTTTAAGCTACGTGCAAAGCCAAATTAGTGTGATTTTCTGCTCGACACAGGACTTTTATGTGGTGCTGCTGTCCCCCATGGAGCTGGACACGACGATGCGGATGATCCTGCAGGTGCCCATCTGGGCCCAGCGCGTCATCTACATCCAGGGCTCGTGCCTGAAGGACGCCGATCTTGCCCGCGCCCGGATGAACGAGGCGGAGGCGTGCTTCGTGCTGGCCGCGAGGAATTACGCCGACAAGACGGCTGCTGTAAGTGCAGGATTGGATTCTATTTGAAAAACTTACGTTTTGCAGGTTTTTTTTTTTTTTTTGCTTTGTTTTTTGACGTTTTCTGGGGAGTGTAGGAAAGTTTCATTTGCTCACGTGGGCCGTTTGCAAAAGGAAGTAATTGAAGCTCGTCGTTTGAAAGGAAAACGAACAACTGTGTACCCTGTACCCCCTCATCGCACCCGTGCTGACGGCCCTTGTCCTTGCGCAGGACGAGCACACAATCCTGCGCTCCTGGGCCGTCAAGGACTTTGCGCCCAACGTGCCGCAGTACGTGCAGATCTTCCGGCCGGAGAACAAGCTGCACGTCAAGTTCGCCGAGCACGTCGTGTGCGAGGACGAGCTCAAGTATGCGCTGCTGGCCAACAACTGCACCTGCCCGGGGACGTCCACTCTCGTCACGCTGCTCCTGCACACCTCCAGAGGACAGTGAGTCTCTCTCTCTCTCTCTCTCTCTCTCTCTCTCTCTCTCTCTCTCTCTCTCTCTCTCTCATATCCTTAAGCGCTC